TTAGCCGAGATAGGCATGAGGTGGGGGTAAATCAAGATGGTCCTGGGGTTCTGAAGAGGTTAGCAATAATATTAACAATAATGAACATATACTGAGTGCTTAGTATGTGTCAAGCAGTGTGCTAAGTTTTTACTATATTAATTTACAGGTTATCTAGTTTAATTCTTGCAGGTAGGTATTCTTGTGAGGCACTACTTTCATTCCCATCTTTTAGGTAAGAAAATGGGGCTTAGATTGTAAACTTCAGAGAGACTAATAATGTGCCCAGGGCCACTTAATTAGAACCAGGATTTGAAACCAGACAGGTTGGCTCTAGAGCCTATGGTCTTCCTTCTTATATTTGATGGGCAAATGAAAAACGTTCAAGTGAGAAATAAATCAGTATATTTGAAATGGGGTAGTACCAGGGGAGGAAAGACTGAAAAAACTGGAGAGGGGTGAGATTCATTCACTCAACAGCTGTTCATTGTCTCCTGCATGCCAAGAATAGTACTAGGCACTGGGGAATAATGATGAACAAGGCTAGACTGGGAACCAGTCCTCACAGAGCTTAGTCCAGCATGAGTAGGGGCATGCACTGGTCAGGAAATGGTGGACCACAGCAGACAGGCAGGTCAGTTCTCAGAGGCGGTACACTTCTTCCTCTGACCCAGAGGAAGGCCCATGGTTAAGCTCAGTTGGAAGCAGAAGGGAAAGAATTTGTTGGGGGAGATCTCAGGAGATGAGTGTGAGCACTTCTTAAATGTTTAGAATTGTCATTAGAGCAATTCTCAAACATTTCAGGCCACAGTACCCTGAGTATCTGATGAAAACTATGGAGTCTCCTCCCAGAAAAATGCACATTCACATAAGGAATTCATGTGCTCCTGAGGTGCAGGTTATAGAATTGCCTTTGAGGCAACAGGTTAGGGACTAACACCATTGGGAAGAGGAAATCCCAGCAGGTTTCTCCTTAGACCTCATCAGCTCTAAGAAATGGGCAGGGAGAGGCTTAACCGCTGAGCCCTGCAGTTTCCCACCCAAGAGGAGTGCTCCTCAGCTTCTCCCACCCCCAACACCCTCCTCCTCACTTACGGCATCCTGAGTCACTGACATGGGCCTGGGAACTGGTTGGCAAGCGCCGAGGATTCAGAGCTGGACACAAAGTGGCAGAGCCCACCCTAAACTTGTTTCTCCTGAGCGGCTTTGATCTCTCCCAGGAGGACCTGAAAGGTAATCCTGGCGGTTCTGCGTGCTGGCTCTTTGCTTCCGCTTTCATTTCAGTGAAATCCCTGCCCTTCGATGCACACGCCCCCAACTGGTTTCCCCGCCCCTGGGAGGGGCCTTCCTGGTCTGGCAGACTTCATCTAGCAGAGGATTCAAGGTAAGCTACCCTATTAACTGCAAACTGAATTCTGGCCCCAACCATTCATGCCCAGCCTATCAATCCCAGCAGAACCCCATTGGTAGAATTTTGTCTGCTGTCTTAATGGATATTTCCCTAGAGCCCAGAATGATGGCGGGCACATGCAGACATTGATAAAACAATCGAATGACAAATGGCACCAGGAAGATAGAGCCCCTTCATCAAGTTCACAAAATTGTAATAGCATCTATTGAAAGGTGTCTTGCCCAAAACTAGTTCTGCTTTGCATGAATTAAACTCAAATCTTCACAATAACCCTGTAAATTTGGTTCTATTCTCCCATTTTACAGATAAGATTCTAAATTTCTGACACAGAAATATATAAACTTGCCTAAGGTCACACTTCTAGGAAGATAAGTGTGTAAACAGACCTAGTTGGACATTATTTGAACTAGGGGCTTGAGGCAGAGTGGAAAGAACTTGAATTTTTTGTCAAAGAAGGGTTTAAATTCGGTTTCATTTGTGACTTGACAAGCTACTTAAGTTTCTCAAGAGATGCTCCATACTTGTGAGGAGCCAAATGAAAGCACACAGGTTTTTACACCAATAACTTACTGAGCCCCTTTCTATTCCCCTCTCCCTCCCCCCATCCTGGGTGGAAGTGTACCAAGTGCAAGGCTTGGAAATATAGGACTGAATCCTAGTTCCATCTAGCAGCTTAGCAGCAGCTCAGTTGGTCTTATCAGTAAAACAGGGTCACAAGCATCCCAAGCTCCAAGAATCACTCCTTCTTGCCAGTCTGTTTGGGACCTCTCCCTGGTCCCACTAGGAATGGCTGCTCTGGGCCTGCATCAGTATCATCTAGTGTGGTCCTCATTGGAGGACCAGTTTCACCAGACTCGTTGGCAATTCTTACCAACTAAATCTAAGTCAAAGGGTGGGACTCTGGCACTCCGGCTTGACAAACGACCAGTGCTAAGGTTTGAGAACTTCAGGTTAGTAGTTCTCAATCCAAAGTAGCCAGTGCTCACTCGAAGGGGCCTTTGGTTGTCCAAGGAGGGGGGTGGGAGGGGTGGCTCAGGTTCTCTAGTTACGCAGAGCCAAAGCCAGGGATGCCAAAAAAATTCTGCATCTAAAAATGCCAGGAATAGCTTTTTTGGGAAGCAGTGCAGTAGTACTGATCACTTTACCTAATGAGAGCAGCCAGATCATTAAAGGATTACCAGGCCAAGGACCATAGTCCTTGCAAGTCTCACAAAGGCAAAATTAACTTTTATATTTTCCCACAGCCCCTCACCCAACCATTGTCTCTCTTCTTATGACCGTTCTCCTTTCCCAGATTAATAATACATGCAACAGACAAAGGGGTAGTTTTTGGACTTTTAATGACTGAAACAAAAAAGATCTAAAACCGCAGCTTCTGGAAGAACCATTTGTTCTTGCCGGTCTTGTACCTTGAAGGGAAAAAAGGACATCATTGAGAAAAGGAACAAAGAGACAAAATTCCCTTCATGAGAAATTAGTAAAACCATACTGTAACACCCACCACCAAAGCCCACTTACCTCTCTTCAAACTTGACCTTGGCTTCCCGTCGGGCCTTGCGTTTCAGAGCAGGGTCTCTGAAGACATCCTTGTTGACGACAGTTTTGTCCAAGGGGATATCCACAGAGTACCTGGGGACAATGGTGGGAGGTAGCATCAGCCCGTATGCTGCCAGGGCCTTCACATAGCCACCCAAGTCGTTCTGGGACACTGGGGTGTCAGGGTTTGATTCCACAGGATCAACCATCGAAAGCTTTCCCAAGTCCTGATGATATTCCTTGGAAATCTCCAATGTTAACAGACTCAGTGACATAGATTTACTCATTTTCTAGCTAAGAACCATCACTTTATTACATTTTCTTTACTTTGATCACAGTGGGTGGCTAGCTTTCTATTCAGAGCCATTGTATTTAGTGCTGTTAAATTCTGCCTACACAGGCTCAGAGTCTCATTATATGACACTGCAAAACCTGGGTGGCTAGTTGCCTCAATCTCATCACTTCCCAACACCTGAGAAACTGCTCTGCTGTTTTAGGTCAACAAACCAAGGGTAAATGTGAAGTCCCAAGAGAAAACTTTAAGGCACGTGCTGCTGGGTTTTGTTAATTACTGTTCAGGACTCTTTCAAATCTTGTATTTCTTTTCGACCCTCCTACTAAGATAGTTTATGTGCTGTGCAATACTCTGAAAGGCCAGAAGCTAAAGGGCCCAGTATTCAAGTGGAACTAAGGGAGACTTGCTTTCATTTGTTCACCATTTGTGAAAGCCTGTAATAACTATCCTTGAGAGTGGAAGGATGGAAGAGGGCAGACCAGATCCTATGCCTGTGTTTACTGTGGATGCAAACAAATGAAACAAATCTTTGTTCAGCACAAAGAATTTTCAGGTGAAAGAGACAGTTAAAGAGCAAGTTTGGGAGAGATTTTTCAATCTTGCTCCACAAGTTAGCACAATCACCACATAAAATGATAGGAACATGGCTCCAAGATGGATGAAAGAGGTACAACTAGAAACCACAACCACTTTATAAGTGACAAAAAGAAAACGATGTTTCTTCCCCACACTGGAATGGCAACACGGTTGTCTCCTTATTCAGCAGTGCAGAGAGGGGTTAAAGAAATAAAGTGACTTTTATTCCCATTCTTGTAATGCTTACCTTGTGGGCATGAGGTGATTGTAGTTATAAACTTTCACAAAAGACTTGATCTTTGACCTCTTGGCAATTTTCTTCTTGCCCATGGCAGCTGTCACTTTGCGGGGATAGCGGTCAATTCCAGCCACCAGAGCATGGCTGTAGGGGCGGTCTGAGGTGCCATCGTCAATGTTCTGAATGAGCAAGAATTATATTTGTTATCAACTGAGGGCCCAATTAGGGCCTATGCTAGATGTAGGCAGGTTTATGTTTGAAAAGGATAACCTCACCCCCAGGTCTCTGAAACCCACTATTGTACAGAAAAAAAACCCACAAAGCAGACACTAAGTGCTATGCCAGGTGCCCAAAAAATAGTAGGGGTAAGGGCAGTGTTCATTCCCACCAGGAAGATTCTGGAGAGGCTCCTGGGAGGGTAAGAGATTTAAAAATAAGTTAACATTTATGAAGTGCTTGCTGTGTGCCAAATTCTTAACTTCCTCCATGACTGCACTGCTAGTAAGGGGTAGAGGCAGGATTCCAAAACTGGCAGCCTAACTCTGGAAATCAGTCTCAGGTAGATGGGGGAAAGGGAACCGGGGGTACATCGGTGTCCCTAAACAGCCAAAAGCACTGCTGTTTGGGGCCAGAGCTTAGGGACATCTCAAGAAGCTGAAAGATGTAGGCAGAAGACAAAGAAGAAAGGGCTAAAATATGCTAAGTGACCATTTTGAACAGAAACAATTTCTCCTCCTTTTACAGAATCCCCGCTGCAGCATTTATTACCTGTTTGATCTTTGGTGAATTACTGAACAAATCTAAACCTTAGCAGCAGAAAGAAAATCCCCTATGGATTCGACATGAAAATACTTTTAAGGCAATCGGCCAGGAACCAAACAAGCGTTCAAAAAACACTGTCCAATTATTTAAAGCCTTTTTCGTGGAGGACGCGTTCTATTAGCTGCCCAATTCAAAACACGTTTGTTTTCCCTCTTTCTCTTCCAAAAGCCCTTATGCCCTCACCCCTATCCCCACCTGCAAAGCTCAGTAGTTCATGTCCCAAAACTAGTTCTTGAATTCCAAGAGTGCCCGCCCTCCGAAACCGGCCAGATTTTTGGGAAATGCCGTGTAAAAGCTCGCGAGACTGATACCTTCACGATGACCGCTTTGCGTCCGGAGTAGCGTCCAGCCAGGACTAACACTACCTTCCCGGGTTTCATAAACTTGCCCATTTCTGCAGATAAAAATAGTTTATGTGCTGTGCAATACTCTGAAAGGCCAGAAGCTAAAGGGCCCAGTATTCAAGTGGAACTAAGGGAGACTTGCTTTCATTTGTTCACCATTTGTGAAAGCCTGTAATAACTATCCTTGAGAGTGGAAGGATGGAAGAGGGCAGACCAGATCCTATGCCTGTGTTTACTGTGGATGCAAACAAATGAAACAAATCTTTGTTCAGCACAAAGAATTTTCAGGTGAAAGAGACAGTTAAAGAGCAAGTTTGGGAGAGATTTTTCAATCTTGCTCCACAAGTTAGCACAATCACCACATAAAATGATAGGAACATGGCTCCAAGATGGATGAAAGAGGTACAACTAGAAACCACAACCACTTTATAAGTGACAAAAAGAAAACGATGTTTCTTCCCCACACTGGAATGGCAACACGGTTGTCTCCTTATTCAGCAGTGCAGAGAGGGGTTAAAGAAATAAAGTGACTTTTATTCCCATTCTTGTAATGCTTACCTTGTGGGCATGAGGTGATTGTAGTTATAAACTTTCACAAAAGACTTGATCTTTGACCTCTTGGCAATTTTCTTCTTGCCCATGGCAGCTGTCACTTTGCGGGGATAGCGGTCAATTCCAGCCACCAGAGCATGGCTGTAGGGGCGGTCTGAGGTGCCATCGTCAATGTTCTGAATGAGCAAGAATTATATTTGTTATCAACTGAGGGCCCAATTAGGGCCTATGCTAGATGTAGGCAGGTTTATGTTTGAAAAGGATAACCTCACCCCCAGGTCTCTGAAACCCACTATTGTACAGAAAAAAAACCCACAAAGCAGACACTAAGTGCTATGCCAGGTGCCCAAAAAATAGTAGGGGTAAGGGCAGTGTTCATTCCCACCAGGAAGATTCTGGAGAGGCTCCTGGGAGGGTAAGAGATTTAAAAATAAGTTAACATTTATGAAGTGCTTGCTGTGTGCCAAATTCTTAACTTCCTCCACGACTGCACTGCTAGTAAGGGGTAGAGGCAGGATTCCAAAACTGGCAGCCTAACTCTGGAAATCAGTCTCAGGTAGATGGGGGAAAGGGAACCGGGGGTACATCGGTGTCCCTAAACAGCCAAAAGCACTGCTGTTTGGGGCCAGAGCTTAGGGACATCTCAAGAAGCTGAAAGATGTAGGCAGAAGACAAAGAAGAAAGGGCTAAAATATGCTAAGTGACCATTTTGAACAGAAACAATTTCTCCTCCTTTTACAGAATCCCCGCTGCAGCATTTATTACCTGTTTGATCTTTGGTGAATTACTGAACAAATCTAAACCTTAGCAGCAGAAAGAAAATCCCCTATGGATTCGACATGAAAATACTTTTAAGGCAATCGGCCAGGAACCAAACAAGCGTTCAAAAAACACTGTCCAATTATTTAAAGCCTTTTTCGTGGAGGACGCGTTCTATTAGCTGCCCAATTCAAAACACGTTTGTTTTCCCTCTTTCTCTTCCAAAAGCCCTTATGCCCTCACCCCTATCCCCACCTGCAAAGCTCAGTAGTTCATGTCCCAAAACTAGTTCTTGAATTCCAAGAGTGCCCGCCCTCCGAAACCGGCCAGATTTTTGGGAAATGCCGTGTAAAAGCTCGCGAGACTGATACCTTCACGATGACCGCTTTGCGTCCGGAGTAGCGTCCAGCCAGGACTAACACTACCTTCCCGGGTTTCATAAACTTGCCCATTTCTGCAGATAAAAAGAGGTCGCTCAGAAATCCGCAAGCGCAGGCTGCCAGCCCGGAACTTCAGGCTACGCTCACTGTCGTCTTGGGACCGTTCTGCGGGCCCTGCTCCCAGGACATGATCCGCTACGAAGCCGCTACATACCGAGGAACCGTAAGTACCCGTCGCCGCCCCGCAACTCGACCCCCAGGCCGCAGATGGCGGCGGATTTTAAGACCCTCCCCAAGCCTCCACTTACCGACATCAGCCACTCGGGCCTACAGCAGAAAGGAAAGAACCACTCTTCCGCTAACCTTTCACCCCGGAGCAAGATGATCTCAGTTCCGGTCCCGCCCCTCAGGCCTCGCCCCGCCTCTTGCGTGGTGCTCAGACTCTGGATTGGGGGCGGAAGAAGCTATTGTGGGAAAGCAAGGCCTGGCTGTTCATTTATTCAAATCAAATTTTATTGGTAGCTCCAGCAATTGACAAAGGCCAAAGAGTCGTCTTTAGCGTACAGTGGGAAGCTCAAGGCTTGAAAGCGCTCAGCCTTTTGACTCTGTTGCTTCCCTGCCCTTTGGTTGTAGTTCCTTTCTCTGACGCTGGGAGGGTCACACAATTTGAAATTTACTTTTCTGGTCTTGAAAGAAGTTAACAAAATAGCACAATTTTTAGTGACCACTGTGTGAACTGTTAGGTGTAAGGAAGGAGGGACGAAGATCAATCAAACAAGGATACTTGCCTCCGCCATTTAGAGTCTAGTTACAGACTTACAGCCTAGCAGTATTGGTGGTGAAAGATGATGATGGTGATAGTAGCTGCTTATCCTATGCTGTCTAGTTAGTTACTATATTTACGTATTTCACTTGATCCTCATAACAACACTAGGAGATAGATACTATTATTTCCTTTCTACAGTTGAAGAAACTGAGGTTTAGAGAGATTACGTTGCCCAAAGTCTACAGCTAGTAAGTGGTGAAGCAGGGACACAGACTCAAGCAGGCCTTCTGAGCCCATGCTGTTTATCCTGTCACCATACTTGAGCATTTTACTCTTGTGCTAGGCACTTTGGGTAAGTCAACAGCCTATTTTTCTTCCTTTTAGACATGAAGAAATTGAGATTCTGTCTGAGGTTGAGCCTGATCAGTAGCATAGATGGGATTCAAATCTAGGTTTGAACTCAGGTCTAGTTGGCTTTCAAACGAGAATTATTTCCCATCACTCCCATCAGGAGTGTTTTTAGATGGTTCTTTATCTTCCAAATTCAAGAGAGAGAAACCATCTTACTGTTTTTTAGCTCATCTGAACATCAAAAAATCTATAGGATTGATCTTGGGCAAGTGGTGGGACCAGTCGGGATTTCATCAATTTTCTCAAAGCTCTCCAGGGACCATTTTCTTTCCCCTGCAGCCATCGGGACCCCATTACAACAGTTCAGCACTTTAATTACGTACTTATATTTCTACGGTCAATTAAAACATTTTCTTCTTTAATTTGGAATATGACATTTTAGAGTTGAAAGGGGCCTCAGAAATCATCTACTCTGGCCTCTCGAAGATGAGAGGACAGTTCTAGAGCAGCAAAGTCACAGTTGGTGATGCAGAGCAAGGTCTCCCCATTCCAGACCCAGTGCTCTTTCCACCATACCATACTACCTTGTCCATTTCCACCTCCACTGTCTTCTCCCAGCCTCCATATCTGCTTCTGCCTCTTTTGCTGTTGCTTCCTTAAAAGACAGAAACCAAACCCTGAAATCTAATAATTGCCTTGGACTCCTCTCACAAACTCTCTCTAAATAAAATTAGTAACTAAATCTTGTGAATTTTGCCTTGTCTTTTAAATCTTTTCTGTCCCTTTCCATCTACTCCCTAAGAGAACCAGCCTCAGTTCTTCAGTTGCCCCTCACACTTTTGTGTGCATCAGAATTGCTTGGGTTGCTTATTAAAGATGCATCTCTAACCCAACAGATTCCAATTCAGGTCTGGAGTGGAGCCATATGTTCTATAGATAGATCTTACTTTTGAGAAAGGAGGGAGAGGAACAAAAGATCAAGCAGCAGCATGATACAGTGAGGTACCATGACAAGTAACATTAAATAGGCTGTTGATGTACCTAGAATATGGATTCAGGCAATTGGAATTCAAATCCCAGCTCTCTCATCATGTAAACCCAAACAAAATATTCAGCTTTCTGCAGTTTAGTTTCCTCAACTATAAATGGGGATAATATTGTCCTGCCTTACTAGTGAAAATTAAATTAAGATGACACATACAAAAATGCTTCCCATGATGCTAGCACAAAACCTTAATACAAATTAGTCTTTGAGGATTAAAAAAGATAATACTGGGGTGACCCAGGACTATGCCATATGGCTATAGCAGTTGTCACCCAACCTAAATGATATCCGAATAGATTTATAAGTGCCATTTCCAAAAGTGGCATGTGTGGTGGCTGCTGTGGGGATGGGACTGGAGGCCTGGGTGAGACAGGGCACTTTTTAGTGAATTTACTCAGGGGGCAAAAAACCACCACCAAAGCTGAGTTGATCTTGGGCAGAGGGCAGAGAAGAGGCAGAAAGGCCAGGAGCTAGACATAGCTCAAAGAAATGATCTGGATCCAATGGCCTGATAATGCCCAGACAAGACTTACAGCCAAAGCCAAGGGTCTCTGAATATTTGCAGGGCATCTATACAAATTACTAGGATTTTATTAGCAATCACACATATATCACTTTTTTCACAGCATTTTACATTTATTCTGTTTCACACAGATGGAGAACTAATTCTAATGAATTATCAATAATACATCTTAAATAACATGTTGCTAAAAAAATTTAAGGTAAAATGCACTACACAATAGTGCAGACACAAAGTGCAGCTGGCAATTTAATATATGACATAATGCTGAATCAGTAGTGTGGGGAGCCCATTTGGTTTTCCGGAAAGTGATACACTTTGCCCATCTTTGGTCAGTCCTGTAGCCGTATGTAGGCTGAATGACAAATATCAACTAAAAAGGCTGAAATACTGAAAACCAAATAGGACCACTCTAGAGTCAGTTTTACAATGAAGTGTTTAGTCCCTCCTCTGTCAACACTGACCTGTCTTATTTCCCCAGCTCTGTAGTATTTATCTCATGATCAGACCTCCTCCATCATCCAGCCTCCAGGACAAGAGGAGTCACAGCCCTGGAAGGAGTTGTCTGCTGGTCACTGATCGGTTTTCCTATTCACACTTGCCTCGGGTGACAATGATTCAAGAAGTATACTTCTAACACGTCTACTTCTGAGATTATCAGAGTCTCGTTGGGAGGTGCAGAGAGGAAAGGTTACTTGCCAGAGGACATGGTACCAGACAATGGTTGTCATTCCTTATAAACAACCAGCTCCAAAACCAAAAGACCATCGTCTGTGCCATGAGAAGAGGACCACCTTGCCAAGAACAGATTTCAGTTCTTACCTCTACATGAAAAAGGGCTCATATTAAAATCAACTTGTGGTTAATTCCCTTAGAAACAGTGTCCTCAGAATATTCCCATTCCTAGTTTTAGAGGCAGCTACTGAATATACATAGCCTCACTTGACCTTGGCTCCCAACAGGAGCCTCAAGACAAATGTCTTCCAGGACCAACAACTCATTCATATTGTCACTCACAGTCATAAAGAGAATGGTTAGTGCAATCTGGGTTTTCTGAAAGTCAGACATGGCATGAGGAGTTGGTGCATTAACTGTGTGCCATGACTGATTTATGTGCCACATGTACACTGTGGTTATACACTAGGGAAGAACCTTTAAACAGGAGAGTCTTCAGAATTTCTTTCTGAGATGCCTCGCTGGTGGGGAAATGAGACTTTGCAATCATTTGGCTGGGGAAAACGTCTTTAATCCTTCCTCCTACTCCTTTCTCCACATTCTGAAGACTAACCATCTTTCCTCACTGAGCAAGGTGGTGGGGTAGGGCCAGGGCATTCCCATTAAAAGGCATCTTTGATGTTCTTGAGCTGGCGCACAGCAAGGTCTACAGGGAGGCTGAACTTGAGGCTGCTGAGGCGACTGAGCAGGTTGAGGGCACTCTCAAAGCCTGTGTGTGCCATGTAGCTCCAGGGCTGGTAGTGGGGCTCGATGAGCGACCCTGACTTGCAGATGAGGTTCACCCATGACACGAGACGCTGCTCATTCAATGCCATGCACACCAAGGCCTTCAACTCTGAGTCTGCACTGCGCTTAAAAGGGTCGTGCTCTGTCAGCACCATGTGGATGGCTGTCAGTAGGCTCTGCTTGGGTGTTACGACACTGCCTCCCATAACAGGCAGGGCGAAGGACTGGGAGAGCTTCCGGGCTGGGGATTCCACATAAGCACGGCCGTTCTTAGCATGGTAGTACTTTACAAAAAGCTCCCAGGGGTGCATGGCTTCAGGGGCCGAGGAGAAGGCTGGCAGCAAACAAGCAATGGGGGCCATCACAAGGCTCATCCCTGGTGAGGTGGCGTATAATCCATGGGCCAGAAGGTCCCTCACAGCCACCGTTAGCTCCTTCCGCACAGCAGTAGTCAGCTCGTCCTTGCCTCCCAGAGAGAGGTCCTGGAGGTTGGCAGAGGTGATGACGTGGTCATGCGGCTGGTGCCTTAAGGCTAGCTGCTTCACTCTGTCTACTGACACCTCTAGCCTCTTCAGTAAGGGAGAGTAGTCCCTGTCAGCCTGGCCCCTTGGCCACAGAGTTTGTGGGATCTGGCCCGTGGCACAACCAAACTGACTAACAGCAAAGATCTGGAGCACTGCCAGTGCTCGCCGCATCAGGTGCAGCCCTGTCTCTCGAACTCTCTTCACATCTTCTGCCTTTTCTGTTTAGAAAACATAATGGCTCATTAGTTAGGGCCACAATGACACAGAAGTACATTCAACAAGCCACAAGCTGAGATCAAGTCTTGCTTCTGAGTTATGTATGGGTTCCACATGGAGCCCAGAGCCACCCAGGATGTCACTGGACTTAGTTATTTTGGTTAAGGATGCTGCTGGACTTCCCCTTTTTTGGTTAATTAACAGCTATATTGAGATATCATTCACATACCATAGAATTCACCCACTTAAAGTATATAGTGCAGTGGTTTTTTAGTATACTCACAGAATTGTGTAACCAACATCCCACCTAAACACCCTGTACCATTAGCATTTCCCATTCACAATTTCTCCCCAACCCAAGCCCTATGCAACCACTAATCTACTTTCTGATTCTATAGATTTGCCTAATCTGTTTACTCACGTTTACTGTTTCCTGGAGGCAGTCTACTGCTGCCTGTTCTGGTGGAGCCATTTTCTATCTTCCCATTGGCTTTGCAATCACAGTGTCCACTGTCTGTCTGCAGCGGGCTCCCTACTTCATCTGTAATCAGAAGTTACAAAGAAGAGATACTTATTTAGCCTCTTTATGGCAGATTTTTAAAGGAAAAATATTTACTAGTGCCTACCACATGACAAAACTTTCACAAATATATCTTATTTAAGTGTGTAGAACAGCAACTGGCATATAGTTACTGGCTCAATAAATATTTGCTGAAGGAAGCATGAATCATTTTATGAGTGAGGAGAGTAAGACCAAATAGGTTAGGAACCTGCCCACGGACATGAAGCCAGTAAGTGGCAGAGCTGGGATTTTAACTACCCAGTTCCAAAATCCATGTTCTTTCTACTCTACCATGCTGACTCCCTTATTGACTGATCAAACTTCATAAACAGTACATGAAGATTGGCGCTTTCAGGTATTAGTACTCAGAATACACAGAATTATCGTAACGTCTGTCAACCTTCCTCTTCCCACCTGCTCCTCTGACCTTGGATGAAGTTGATGAACATCTCAAGGTCTCGGATCTGAGTTTTCAGCTGCTCAACTAACTGTTCTTTCACTCGGGCTGGGTTGACGATCTGAGCCACGGCTGCATCCACACGTTGTCGAAGCTCTTCAGTGGACAGTGAACTGATGTCCTCATTCAGATTCATGTCCAGTTTCTTTATTAACTCATCTATGATCACCTATAAAAACCACAAGCAATGAGCACACCCTTTGGAAGTTTCAGGGAGAGAGTTAGGAAGGGGAATCTTTATGAGTACGCCTTCTACCCTTAAACAGAAATCAAAGATACAGAGAGCTTCCAAATTCATCGGAGAAAATGAAGAAATTGCTGATCATGGTGAGGAGAGACCCTTCTCTTCTCTGAGAGTAACAAGAATCCTTGGTTCCTCACTGACAGAAATGGCTCCTCTCCCTGCAAATGTTCCACCAAGCCAGGCAAGTTTCACTCAAGAGAACAACAGTGTGAATAATCTAAAGTGGCTGATGACCCAAAAAGCCTCATTCTTAGCTTCTCCCAAGGCCTTCAAGGGAATAAATCGTATTTTTTCTTAGTTCTAGTCCTTCTCATTCCTTCTTCCAATGAAAAACCTTTACAAAACATCAAGGTACATTAAAGCCAAAATATCCTCGTGATAATATTAGGAACGAGGAAATCTAGATAATGTAACTCCAGTCCAGCTATAGAAACAGCCACATGTCAGGGAGAAACATGTAGGGGAGGCTGTAGCTGTATTTCTACCAGCAAATTTACCTATCTATCCAGGTGTTGCTTAAATAAATACAGCATTAATGTCAGTCTGGATTCCTAGAATAGTTACCAACTGGTTGTGAGGAAGAAAAGCTAGTTTAAATTGTATGATGTGCCCAAGTAGAACTGTTTTAATGATCAAATAAAAGAAAGTTGTATTGTTAATATTATATAGTACTACTATTATTAATAACTACCAAAAAGAAAGAGCTCAGTCATCATATTATAAATCTTTGGAACTTGTGTTTCCATGTGTGAATAAAGACTGGTCCCATGTAATAGTAAAATTTCCCTTCGATTTGGGCCAGCGAAGGAATTCTCAGTAAGGCCAAGAGCAAACAAGCTAGGAAAGAATGTCCTGTAAACGCTGAAAAGAACAAGATAACCTTAGGTAGTGGTGGAGATGCCTGTTGTCTACTCACCCGCTGTCTTTCTAAGACCATGGACTGTGGGAGGGAGTCATAATTGCCTTCTTGGTAGGCAAAGGTTTCCAGGTCATCTAGCTGGGTTTTCAGCTGCAGTATCAGTTCCTTCTGCTTCTCCCTTTGGGTTTCCAGACGTTCCCGTTTCTCCTGCTCACTCTAAGATGAAAAAATACTTAGGTTTATTTCATAGGAAAAGGAAAATTCAGAGAACATTTAGAATCATCTAAAGCCAACGATGACTAGTAAAATATAAAATGCTTCCAAATAATCCAGATGAAATATGGAATTTATAAGATAGGTTCAAAATGAGTAATTATTTCATCAGGGCAATTTATTAAATCTGTGTTTTCTTTAAGAAAGTATTTATCCCTCATTGGAAAAAGGATATGAACACAATGGGGCCTTTTGTTAAGACTGCTTTTTTTTTTTTTTCCCCCAAAGGTCTGGTTAGGATTGAGACAATTTATCTTAGCCAAGACAGCCTCTCAGCAATTAGACATGCTGTCCTCCACAGCCAATTACCACTGAATATTTTCTGCAGCCAAATTTTGCAAGAGAATCTGGAGGAAAGGGTTTAGATAAAGGCTTTATAACAAAACCAGTTTTTTAAAGGTTCAAAGCCCCTCCAATGTATTACAGACTTCTGCAAAATCAAAAGAATAAATGCAGATGCCTGGGGCGGTAAAAAAAACTTCATAGTCAAATAATGGGGGTGAGAAGGTAAGAGCATTTAAAAAAAAATGTCTGGTAAGTTTCCCTGAGCAGTGACTACTTTTCTCACTGTTGGCCACCAGGTAGTTTCTGCATTTAAATGATTAAAATCCCTTCAGAGTGGCAAAGTCTTGCTAATGTATACTCAAACACTGGTTCTTCTATGCCTTTCTTGAGTATCAAAAACAAAGCAAAGCAAACCCAGCAAATCATGCATGTGTAAGGCTGCATTTTAAACTAGAAGCCTATAGGATATTAAATTTAACCTTAAAATGGTACTTACCAAGCCCTCCAGAAGTAAGGTATGAAAGAGAACAGATGAAAAACAAATTAAGTTTCTGTTCGAGCTATTTAAAAAGCAATCCTCTTGCTTTAGCTTTATTCAACATGAAAGAAGCCTTCTCTCAGGATATTCCTCCTCCAATCTTTTGGTTTTCCTTAGAACGCTGTGCCTCTCCCCCAAGAGGCCTAGCTATCCTTTAAGAGGTTTCCTCAAGTTCCCCAGGCATCATTTACCCCTCTGCGTTTTGTACACACTTCTACTTTAGCTCAAGTAATTTGATTAGGATTCTATCTCCCCCAGTCTATGAACACGTTTGTACCCTAAAGGCTTCGCACAGTGCCTAGCTCTCAATACACATTTGTTGTATGTTACTGAACTGAATCTGGTAGAAAACATTACAAATTCATAGTCCACCCTTATCTATGGTTTCGCTTTTTGTAGTTTCAGTTGCCTTCTGTCATCTGAGGTCCAAAAATATTAAATAGAAATTTCCAGAAATAATTCATACGTTTTAAATTGTGCACCATTCTGAGCAGCGTGAGGAAATGTGGGTCTGAATCACTCCTTTGTCTAGAGTACCCAGGTATCCACGCTGTATGCACCACCTGTCCACTAGTCACTTAGTAGTCATTCTGGTTATTGGATTGATTGTTGCGGTATTGTAGTGCTTGTGTTCAGGTAACCCTTATTTTACTTACTAATGGTCCAAAGACATTCACATAACTTTTATTATAGTATATTGTTATAATCGTCCTATTTTATTATTAGGTATTGTTGTTAATCTCTTATTGTTTCTAATTTATAAATTAAACTTTAACATAGGTATGTAAATATAGGAAAAAACGTAGTATATAAGTTTGATATTATCCAAATATTATTGGGCATCCATTGGGGGCCTTGGATTATATTCCCCTTGGATGGGGGGGAATGCTATAATGAACTATGGAGGAAGTTGTCTAATCAGCCCAAGGAGCAAGAACTGGATAAACTTTGTGTTTTCATTGTATCCCAACTTTATGAAGCCAAGGAAGAAATAAACCAGTCATAAATCCTGATTCCGTTTTCATGAGAATGTCTGCTGAACTCTTGTCACTTGCCATGGTAGTTCTAGTATGCTGTTTATTGGAGTGTGAGTGAACAAGTTTAATAGGTCAGAATGATGAGTTCCGGTGAAAGGCAGGAAGTAAAAAATAACTTCCAGTATGAAATGGAATAAAATACTGGTTAAAAATATCTGGAACTGATAAGTAAATCATTTGGTTCACACATACCCTCCACCTGGCACTATCTGTTCATGTGTCAATATATACACACAAGATTATGGCTGCTTGTTAGGTGTTTTTGAGCACTGCACTGTTTTTCTTTTTTTGCTGTACTGTCTCTAAAAGTGAAATGAACAACCAAAAGAGCACCACATCCACAGGGAACCTTTGGTGCTCCTCACCCCTGAACAGGGCCTGGCCACAATAATTCTTTCTATCCTTTCTATTCCTTAAATGTCTGGCAATTTGAGATGCCTGCTCCTTGAGGAGCTGTGGGTATGTGAAGAGAAGGGTGGAACAGTAAACACAGGATTGCGCTGGAACATTTCAGATTAAAATAAACAGTTCAGTATCTGTTACTGATAAGTCTTCTTGGTTTAAACCAACTTAAGTGGGAAGAAAGCCACATTTAGGTTGTAACTTGAAGAATAAAAAGGTGGAGAAAAGATGGTGAGTCTCTTCAACACCTATGTACAACTGTGCACTTTCAGAGAGTGTATGAAAACATTCAAAGACTGTAAGAAAACATTCACTGGGTGTGGTATATAGATTCTCATAACTTCTTGGGGTAGGCTAAGTGAATAAGTCATGTCTGTTTCCAAAGGGACCTCATTTAGAATCCTTATTTATTAAGCAGGATGGGGAAGGAGTTATAAAATACCATAATTAGGAAATTCATAAAATCAGGAGTTGTGTTTCTTTTGATTTGTTGTTCACCAGAGCTCTCACTCAGACGAGTCTAAAGATTAAAGATTCTTTAGATTCCAGGAAAGCAGGGGCAGAGAGTAGATCTAAATTTTCATGGATTCCAATTCACTTGCCCTTCACTAGCCAATTTTCCCCATCCACAGGGTCGAGGCACTCTATCAGCAAAGGTACCAGCACTTACTTTGTGAGGTGACAGCAAAGTGAGCGAGAGCAGCATTGCTTCGGTTGCTCGCTCTGTTGCCCTCTGAATACTATCTTCGCTCACTGCTCCTCTGCCCTTCATGTCATCACACCGGACACCTCTCACAATCAGGTTCCTGCCCTTCGGCGGGCCCCGCACACTTGTCTCAGTCTTTGTCTCGGACGCACGAACGGTCGGCTTCTCACTTCAGCTACCCTTCATTCTCCTCTGCATCGCCACTCACCCAACCCTATCCCATTCCCATATCCCTCCGGACCTAGCCCCAGCTGCTCACCTGGTCCTCGCCCCGCAACCGTGGCTGGATCTCCAGCAGCCCGTCGGCCTCGTCGCTGGCGGTGTCCTCGGGCTCCCCATAACCCAGGACGTGAGGGCAGCCGCGGAAGGCGAAGTCCTCGAGCTCGCGCAGGAGGCGCTGCTGCTCCGCCGGCGCCCCGCGCACCACTTGGCGCAAGCGGAACTGCACCTGAGCAAAGTGAGAGGACAGCGCAAGCAGCGCCGAGTCCAGCCGCCGCCGCTCCGCCCGCAGCCGCCGCAGAGTCCGGCCAGGCGAGTCGGGAGGGGAGCCCGGGGTCGGGCCGGGCTCCTCGGCCGCCGCCTCTTCTGAAAATGCAGTCGCCCCAGGCCCGGCCTCCGCCACTGCCCCCACCGGGGCCCAGCGCACCGCCTCGAACGGTGGCAGCGACTCTTCTTCTTCCTCCTCTTCGTTCTTTGCCTTTAGTCCAACGGCCGCCACCACCGTTAGCGGCTCCGCAGCTGCTTCGACAGCCGCCATTTTCCCGGAAACGACGCCGCACGTCAGCCGCGCCCCCTTGCTGCCATGGCAACGGCGCGCTTCCTGGAAACCCGAGGAGCCGGTGGGCAGGACTCAGACGTCACCGACTTGCAGACGTCACTGAGGGCGGGCCTTCCCATGGGATTTAATTCGGGCCAATAATTTTTTATGGAGCACCTTATTGTGAATCAGGCACTGAGTTTACTAAGCATTGATAAACAGGTGAATGAAGCCGGAATAGTCATTTCGTGTGTATCAAGTATAGTGTGGCCGTGGCCATGGTCCCAGTGGGTGTGTCATCCCTTCCTAATCTGTACATTTCTGGAGACTCCAAGATCTGAAGGGCTGCAAGGATTATGCTCTCCCACAGTCTCTCCCGAGTGCGGCCCCCTTGACGGTAGAGCCGTATCCCACTTGCCTCTAAACCCTTCCCCCGACCGTATAAGGAGAAGCAGCTGCTGGGGGCGTCCCAAGGATCTAAAGATAGCAGTCCTTGCCTCAGACTCCAAATGCCACCGGGCAGCGGGAGCCGCCATGGCACGGTGAGTGTTTCCGGCCGCCCTTTGCTGTGGAGATTTCTTGTCCCACATTTTCTGGGCGCTCCAAGTTCTGCGAGGTACCATGGGAACCACAGGCCCCAGGTATCTGTAACTTTGGGGTGACGAGGGGCAGTGTGTGACCTCGATGTTCTCCATAACTCCCTACCTCTCTATTCTCACACTTTTGTTGTCCCCAGGTTCACCTTCACCACACACACCCACTCCAGTCACTCCCCTTCCACCCGCTTCTGTCTCATTTAGCTCCACTTTGACAGGGCTGCATTTTCCCCTCCTCCCATCTTTCTCAAATGCCCTCAGTCTTCCCTCTCCCACCCCTATGAAGCCCCGCCTCAACTCCTCTTCAGGCAGCATGCCCGGACCCTGTGGTACGACAGGCCCAAGTATGTGTTCATGGAGTTTTGTGTTGAGGACAGCACTGACGTCCATGTGCTCCTAGAAGACCACCGCATTGTGTTTAGGTAATGCACCCCTCTCTGAAAGACCTGGCTTCCGGGAAAACTTTCCCTTCTCCTTATGCCCCCACACTCAGCCTCCTGCATCTCAGCTGCATTTCTTCCTCAGCTGCAAGAATGCAGAGGGAGTGGAGTTGTACAATGAGATTGAGTTCTATGCCAAAGTGAACTCCAAGGTAAGGGTGGGGTGGGACCGTAAGGTCTGGATGGGAAGGCTGCCTGGGAAATGGGAGATTCACTTTAAGCCTCGGACCCTAAGAATGAGGTTTTCTATCTGGCAGGACTCCCAAGATAAGCGCTCTGGCCGCTCCATTACTTGCTTTGTGAGGAAATGGAAGGAAAAGGTGGCTTGGCCCCGGCTTACCAAGGAGGATATTAAGGTAGGAACTAGCCTGCTCTTTCTCTTGTGCTCTCTATCCATGTACTCAAGTACCCAGGTTAGGTCTGGAAATCAACTTTGCTTCCTTTCCAATCAGCATTTAATCTCTCACCAGGTCCTAAATATTTGACCTTCTAAATAGTATTGAATGCACTACTTTATCTCTTTCTAATTCAGGCCTCATCCATCACTGGTTGAGTTTGTTGTGTATTTTCCGTGCCACCCCCATCCATCTAATACATTTCTCCCAGCATGGTCTGTCTAAACCACACTTTTGACCCTGTCATCCCCCCCCACCCCCTTAATATCCTCCAATGGCTTCTTTACTTCTACAGGTTGAAAATTAGCTGCTCGCTGATTGGATCTGGCTCTCAAATTTGTTTCAGCAGTCTTCACAGTGTTAAAAATTATTTTGATTGGTGACATTTAGAATTTTTGATCAGTTGCTGAAATGTAAAATGTGGAGATTTCACCTAAAAATTCAGATTATCAGCTTTTCTCAGAAAATGAAGACTCTGGCCACACTGCTCTAAATTTCCAAATGCTAAGAGTTGGAGCTTTAAATGGGATATGTGGTGCACTTCACTTTACTCCTTTTCATTATCTCCCTGACTCCTTCAGGCATTTGCGCTTGTAACTTCTACCCTTTGGGTTCAAGTCCAAGCACCATAGCATGAGATATCAGTGCATGCCATGGCTATTCCTTTCTCTGCAGCATTATATCTCATTATTCTCTGCCTCAAATTTCATGTTCCAGCCACAGCAAACTGCTTGCAGCTCTTTTGCACATATCAGGCTATTTCTCAACTCTGTACCTTTGCTCAAGCTGTACCTTCTTCCTGAAGAGCCTCTATTCCTACTACCTTCTCCCACCTAACTCCTACTCATCCTTCAAGGCCCTACTACTTCAAGAAGGCTAGGTTCCCAAAATATCCTCTACATAACCTACCACCACACTTTCCACACTGTATTATAGCAATTTATATACATTTCCCTCTTGCAATTGCTTTTTGATGGCTGGGACTACGTATTGAGCATTTTTATAATCCCAGTGCCAAGCTCAGAGTCTGGCCCATAGTATATGTTCAATAAATATCTATTAAATGAATGAGTGAATAACTTCTTTCCCTGTCTCAGTGTGGGAACTTGGAACATGGATCTCGAAGGGTTGTTTCTGACTCCATGTCTTGCTTGGTTGACCCTATGATGCTTTAAGACACAGTTATATTTCCAGATGTATCTCCCTACTCATTCTTTTCCCAGAGAGCAGAATTTCTATGCTTTTCCATCCCCTATAATTCCTGGCATTGTGCTTGGCATTTAGTAGTTTCCTGGCAAATCTCTGTGGATAATGATAATGACATGGAACCTGGAGGGGCGGTTAATCAAAGGGGTGCTTTTGGGAAGACTGCACTTCCATTGACCTTCTTTCCCCCAACCATGCTCCTATGAATGTACCCACACTCTTCTATGCACTTCAGCTGCTGCCTTCCTGGCTTGTGACTCTCAAGCTTCCTCTTGCAGCCGGTGTGGTTGTCTGTGGACTTTGATAATTGGAGAGACTGGGAAGGGGATGAAGAGGTGGAGCTGGCTCAGGTGGAACATTACGCAGAGGTAATGCCATTTTCTGTCCATCTTGATCATTCTCTGTGTCTCTGCACACATTTCTCTGGAGGATTGTCATCAGGGCTAAGCAGAGATATATGAGCTCCCCACGCAGCTGCTCATCAGTGCTGATATTCTTTATGTATTTTATGCAATATTTAGCAGAGATGGGAGAAATGAATATTCTATTAGTGAATTGTATACATAGATTCACTCACTATTTACAGAGTAGAGCCTGTGTTCTGAAAAAGTTTGACAAAACCTTTTCCTACTTTTCTGTAATGTTTGTTTTCTCTTCTATTTTCTGTGTGGGTGTGTTGTCTTGAGCCAGACCAACTTCACAGGAAACTTAAACTAGGCACCATAAAAATTCACATTAAAAGTTCCCAATAAATTGCACCCTGCCTTTGTGATTTGGGTTCAGAATTTCAGCTAATGTTTGTTCAAATTACAAGAACACTAGCAGACCCCAACCTGGATTAGTAAGGGGGTGCTCTGTGTGTGTTTAAATTTACTTTAAAAAGGGGATCAATTTACTTTTCTCCAGTTCATTCCAGTGATGTGTTAGGGGCTTGGAAGATAGGGTGATTTTCTGGCTGGGACCATTCTCCTGTGGTCCCTCAGTATACAGGTTGCTCTTCCCTCACCCTTTTTCCTCTCTTGTGACTACGTTGGAACATTACGCAGAGGTAATGCCATTTTCTGTCCATCTTGATCATTCTCTGTGTCTCTGCACACATTTCTCTGGAGGATTGTCATCAGGGCTAAGCAGAGATATATGAGCTCCCCATGCAGCTGCTCATCAGTGCTGATATTCTTTATGTATTTTATGCAATATTTAGCAGGGATGGGAGAAATGAATATTCTATTAGTGAATTGTATACATAGATTCACTCACTATTTACAGAGTAGAGCCTGTGTTCTGAAAAAGTTTGACAAAACCTTTTCCTACTTTTCTGTAATGTTTGTTTTCTCTTCTATTTTCTGTGTGGGTGTGTTGTCTTGAGCCAGACCAACTTCACAGGAAACTTAAACTAGGCACCATAAAAATTCACATTAAAAGTTCCCAATAAATTGCACCCTGCCATTGTGATTTGGGTTCAGAATTTCAGCTAATGTTTGTTCAAATTACAAGAACACTAGCAGACCCCCAACCTGGATTAGTAAGGGGGTGCTCTGTGTGTGTTTAAATTTACTTTAAAAAGGGGATCAATTTACTTTTCTCCAGTTCATTCCAGTGATGTGTTAGGGGCTTGGAAGATAGGGTGATTTTCTGGCTGGGACCATTCTCCTGTGGTCCCTCAGTATGCAGGTTGCTCTTCCCTCACCCTTTTTCCTCTCTTGTGACTACGTTTCTCTTCCCACTAGCTTTTGAAGAAGGTCAGCACCAAGAGACCTCCCCCTGCCATGGATGACCTGGATGTAAGTAAAGCCGGCCCCTCAACTCTGCAGTTTCCTTTTAGTTCTTAAAAATAAGATACTAGAAAGCTTCTGTCTCAGTTCCTAGCACATAGTAGTTCTCAGTGCATGTTAGCCAAATCTGAATTTGACACAAGAGCTCGAATGTTCTTCTCCAGGCTTTGGAAAACCCCAGCAAGACTGTCCTCACTTCCATCTTCCCCTCTACTTCTCCATCCTGGAGCAGACCTGGCCCTGTTAACTATCTTTACAGCTGTAAGGAGCAGGAGCATCATTTGAAATTCTGAAACTAAACGATGCATGACACAGTGCTGTTTATTGAGTACCAGTGGTTTATTTTATTTTACAAAGTTTAAATCCTTCTGTATTGGCCTCCCCAAAAGTTATGTGACTCAAATAATCATAAAGGAAAACTTGGAGAGCAAGAGGAAGTAAGCGGTGTTTGTAAACACAAATGTTTGCTTGTTGCAGACTTTACAGGTGCTTTTCTCTCTTTTTTTTTCCCCCTAGGATGATTCTGACAGTGGAGATGCAACAAGTAATTAATTTACGTGACAGCAGAGCTGGGGAGGAAGCTGTGGCTATCTTCCAGTCACTTTGACAAACTAGGGCCTAGGCCTTCATTAGCTCTTTGGCTGTGCACCAGGGTCTCTTGAGATCTCTGAACTTTCCTAGTTCCTTTTAATTAAGGGTCCTTCTTTATGCTTTATTTCTTCTTTCTAGACTAAACCCCCACCCCCAGGTTCCATGTCATCATCATTATCTACAGAGATTTACCAGGAACCTACTAAATGCCCTTGACTATGGCTGCTGCATCAGATGGCAAGATAGAAGAGGAGTAGACTGGGCAGGGGGCCTTCTGACTTCCTACCAATTGGCTGTAATCTCTGTGTTTGGGCCATTCATCAGGGCTCTCTTGAGTATTTGAGCATGCGTGCATATGTGGTAGAGCAAAAGTCAAAGAAGCAGCATATAGATTATAATAAATTCCTAGAAACTGGTCTCTGTCTCTTTCCTTCTTATACTTCTTCCTCTTGGAAGTATACCTCTTCTTCCTCTGTAGTTCCTCTCAAAGAGAGGGGTGGGTGTCAGAGATCCTGGCCCTCGTTTGGGATTGGAAGATGTTGGGAGCTGGCTTGTAACCAAACTGGGGGACTTTCCCATGCACAGATCATGCTCTGATTTCTCAGAGTAGAAACCAGCCTTTCACTATTTGGCTAATACTGCCAACCCTAGAACCAGCCAGAAACTCAAGTCAGCTTCCTGTACACTCAAGAAATCCCTTTATAGTTTTAAAGCTAATTGTTATATTAGTTCATAGCTTTTTCTGTTTAGTCCTCCATTCATCAGCTACTCTACTCATCCACATATGTTTCGAGTGCCTAATTGTACTTTAACTGTGACTTAAAATGCAATGCCCAGATTTTGCTTCGTTTTCTAGAAACTTTTATTTATTTTTATTTTTTTAAAAAATTTTTAGGTGAGGCAACTCTTGGTTGACCTCACAGATTGCAAGGACCTTGTCAGCTTACAGTCCCTAATTTTTAAATTTTTTACGCCTATAACACCTATTCTTTCTAGGTGGTCTCCCATCCAACTACTAACCAGGCCCGACTCTACTTAGCTTCTGAGATCAGACATGATTGGGCTTGTTCCGGGGAGCATGGCCATAGAGTTCTAGAACCTTTTAGATATTTGCCAAGATACAAAATTGTACCTGATTTAATTTGCTTTTAATTATCTCATTGTTTATTTTTATTAGTGATTTGCATTTCTTTTAATGTGCTGTGTCTATGTCTTTTACCAATCTTGCTGTTGACATTAGCCCTTTAACTTTAAAAAAAAAACATAATATGAAGCTATATTTGTATCATGCTTTACAATTTATTATTTATATATTATTTCATTAAATTTTTTGAACCTTCTATCACCCTAGAAAATATTTAAGTCTTTTCTTTTGATACTTGATCAAATAGGTCACAATAAGTGGCAAAGTTGGGACTTGAACTTGTATAGCATATGTTCCCTTATCCATAATTCTGAAAAACAAAAAGTTCTGAAAACTTTCTTAAAAAAAATTTGACACTCAAACTCATTTGACAGCAAAACATGACCTAAAATGATGTGATGCTATTTACAGTCTTTGTTTATTCTACTTAGTGTATTTATATCTCAGCATAAATATTAACGCATTTGAAGCATTTCTGGTCTAGTGTTGGGGCCACCTCCTCCTCCTGCTTCACTTCCCTCAAGTAGCCAATAAAGGCATAATCTTCTCTAAAAAAAAAAAAAAAAGGAAAATATTAATGGTTTTGATTACATGATGTTGCTCCAGAGTTCCAAATGGAGCGCGTTACATAACACATGGAGTATGCTCTACATTACTGCCTAAAATCTGAAAAATCCTAAATTCTGAAACATCTGGAATCTTCAAGTTTTTATTCGTTGATTTATAAGAGCAGTAAGTTAATTTTAACTTTTAATCCGTTAAAAATTTGAAGCACCAAAAAATTTGAAGCAGTTTATTTCCTGTTAACCTCGTATCTACACTGTTCAATTTAGTAGCCCTAGTCAGGTGGTACTTGACATGTGGTTAGTCCGATCTGAGATGTAAGTGTAAAATACACACCAGGTTTTGAAAATTTTGTATAGTAAAAAACTCACTTATTTTTAAATACCCATTACATGATAAAAAAAATATTCTGGATGTGTTGATTTAAATAAAATATTAACATACGTGGTTCGCATTAAATTTCTATTGGACACTGCTGCTGCGTAGTGGATCCAATCTCATCCCAATCTCTACCCAGTAGGGATTGCGCGGGGCCGAGTTAAACACATCCCTGGGACCCAACAGGTTAAACTAAGTGCCTCGACAAGGTTAGGATGCTGTTTTGTTTTGTATTCTGGCCCCCTTTTTTTTTTTTTGGTCCTTTTCAAACTCTTAAAACAGTTGTTAAACCAGAACGTCTGCAAATCGCATTTTCAATAAATTTGCCTTAACTGCACCCCATACCTTGTTCTCTTACTTCTGCGCAGAGACGCGCCCGTACTACGATTGTCCCTTGCCGGTCCCCGTCCGCCTTCGGGCGGTTTTCTTTTCGTGTGCGGCAATGGCGTTCCAGTGTCAGCGGGACAGCTACGCCCGGGAGGTGCGGCAGGCTGGCGGGGGGACCTCATGCTGCGGAGCAGATGGGGCGGTGCGGGAAGAGGGCGCAGCGTGGAGGGAGATCCGAGGTGGATTCAGCCGAGTATACGGAGGGCTGGAGTCGGGGCTTATTTTCTCATCTCTTTCTGTCCAGTTCACCACCACCGTGGTCTCCTGCTGTCCCGCGGAGCTGCAGACCGAAGGAAGCAATGGCAAGAAGGAAGTGCTGAGCGGTTTCCATGTGGTGCTGGAAGACACGCTGCTTTTCCCTGAGGGCGGGGGACAGGTACCAGGCCCGTCCCTCCTTCTCTCTTCCCGGAAGCTTCTAATTCCTTTCTGCCCAGGTGGAAAATGCCCTCCTGCCCCTCTGTGCCAGCCGTAATGAAAACAGATAAGAGTTAATTCAATTTAGTTTATTTGTTCATTCAACATATGTTTTTATTTTTTAATTTTTAAATTCTTTTTAACGCCTACAGCACCCGGTGTTTCTAAGTTGTCTCCCATCGAACTACTGATGAGGCCTGACCCTGCTTAGCTTCTGAGATCAGACGGGATTGGGCGTGTTCAGGGTGGCATGGCAGTAGACTTCTACAAATGTTTATCAACAAATACTTATCTAGCCATAACATATGCTGAGTACAAATTCCAGGCTCTGAGGATAGGGGTGAACATGACAGTTCCGCTACATACATAGAATATTCATCGGAGAATACAGACAAAACTGTAATTAAATATTATGCCATGCATGATAAGTTCTATAAAATTAATACTTGAGGTAAAGAGAGTGATGGGATGTTCTCCTAGGTAGCGGGTAAATTATTTCAGTAGCGACCTAAGGGAAGTGAGGGGTAAGCCACTGCAATTGAATGACACTGCTGGTGGGGGAGGGAGAAGTATTCTAGGAAGCAGGAATTGCAAGTGCAAAGGCAGGGAGTAGCTTAAGTGTTTGGCAAGGACTGAAAAAGGTTCCCCTGGGGGATCACAGCAGAGAGCCGACTCATCATTGCTGTGGTGGTGTATGGACGAGGTCCAGTGTGAACAGGGGGAAGGTGGATAATAACACCAAAAGTGGGCATTATGGGAAAGTTTTTTCCAGCAGAGATAATAACACAAATGAAGGCAGGGAAGCCTGAAAGAATCTGACAAAGTCTAGTTAACTGCAAATAGTTGGATATAGTTGAATTCTGGTGTGTGTTGATGACAGGCTAGAGATGACCATGGGAAGGTAGGTTGGGGCCAGTTCAGAGGGCCTTGAAGGATGTGTTAAGGTATGTGGGCTTCATGGAGCCATGGAGGGTTCTTAGGCAAATAAGTGATGTGAGAGAACATGTTCAGTAAACTTGACAGTGAAAAGTTTCAATTTCATATCAGTGTAATCATTCTAGAGTGATTTTCTCAACATGGAGGTTTTCTGATCTGCAGAAAATCATGTCTCATTTTATGCATCACTTCTTTCAGGAAGTCTTCCATCATTCCCCAAGACTGTTAGGTCTCTTTCCTTTGAGCTCCTCTAGAACAATACTTTTCATGTTTTGGCATGCGGTAGATCATATTGCAGTCACTTGTTTGCATGTCTGTATTCTTCTCCAGACTCTGAAGTTCCATTACGGATCATGTGTTGTTTACATTGTATTCTTAGGCTGGCATAGTATTTTGTAAGACTTGATAAAAAAAATATCAAGTCTTGGCACTTGATTATTATTTTTTTGAATGAATGAATATTTTTTTAATCTAATTCCAGTAGCAGAGGATGAAGTGGAGGGAGGGAGGAAATTTCAGATCATTTTAGAAACTATCGAAGGATAAGAATCTGAGGGAATGAAAGTGAGAATTAAGGTTCTTTGGGTTTTACTAAAAGTCTTTATTGCTGTAGTTACAATCTTCGTTTTAATTCTGTTATTCTGTTCTGAAGAACAAAATATGTAGGTATTCAGAATGAAAAAGACAGAGACAGCCCCCTAATAGAACAAAGTGGCTTACACCTTTGCTTCCCTTAAGTCACTTGGCATTGCCTTTTCTTCCTTAGGGAATCTCAAAATCTGGGCGTGTTTCTCACACACTTTTCCTGGAGAGTCTTTGTATCTAGAAGTTAGAGTGAGCCCTCCCTCCCACCACTGATTATCTTTGCTTCTTTCCCCAGCCTGATGACCGTGGTACAATCAATGACATCTCTGTGCTGAGAGTGACCCGACGTGGGGCCCAGGCCGATCATTTCACGCAAACACCCCTGACCCCTGGGACTGAGGTCCAGGTCCGGGTGGACTGGGAGCGGAGGTTTGACCACATGCAGCAGCATTCAGGTAGGTGGGTGGTATAGGGGATGTACAGGAGGGGCAGTTGTTGTGTGTGGGGATGCCACAGTGATTGAGATATGGTTTGGATCCTCTAGGAATTAACCTTTTGGAAGCGACAGACATTCAGAATCAGCACTGATTGAGGCAAGATGTGATAAATGTTATAAAAGCGATATGAACAATTAAAGTAAAAAGAATAACTGCTGGATTTGACTATTACCAACTTCCCACTTGGTATCTTTATCAGGATGTCTTATATGCTTTTTAAATTCAAAATGTTTAAAATGGAATTAAAAAGCCACTTCTTTCCCCAGACCTGGTCTTCTATTTGCATCCTCTATGTTCGGCTCATGGCATCAATATCCACCCAGTTGCTGAAATCCTCTTTGGGGATAGCCCATCAGTTACTGAGTCCTATCGGTTTATTTTCTGAGTTCTTCTCTACTTCTTCCCACTGTCGATGCTTTCATTGTCTTTCCCCAGATCTCTAGTAAGTTCCTGGCTAGTCTCCACATTCAGTCTTGCTTCTTTGCAGCTCATTCTTCACAAAGCAGCCAGA